CCCCCCCCCCCCCCCCTCCCTCCCCCCCCCCACCAAAACGCACGGCCAACAGTCAAGTTCAGCCCCTGCGGCGGATACCTCGGTGTCCTGACCGACCGCAGTCGGCTGATCATCTTCCGCGCGCACTCGGCCGAGCAGGTGGCCAACATCTATGGCATCGACACCGACCCCCTGGGCATGCCATCCTACGTGTGGCACCCCTCCGGCAAGGTGCTTTTCGCCGTGACCAACGACCGGAACATCGCCTGTGTCATCCTGGCCACCCAGTCCATCTGCCAGATCGCCCGTCACCACCGGAACGTCGTGCGCGGCCTCGCCTTTGACGCGACCACCGAGCGCCTGTACGCCTGCTCGTATGACAACTCCGTCAGCGAGTGGGGAGTCACCTTCACGTCCAATGCCGCCTCGCCAACGGTGCACCTGTCTTGAGCCAGCCAGCGGACCAGCAAGAAAGGCCACTTTCTTTCCTTCCGCACCCTCCCGGCCTCGTGTCCCATCCTGCGCGCGCGTGGCACAGATGTGCCCTGCCGGCAATCCCCTCCACCCAAAAATAGACTCCTGCCCATTGTTTCTGCACCCCCCTCCCCCCTCCCCCCCCTTCCTCTTTCCTGCCCACCTCTCCATGGGCCACGGACACGGGATGCCCACCGCATGGGTGAATATGTATACAAGGACAGGGCGCGCACACACGCATGCGCCGAGGGCGGAACTGCTTAGTCGAAGAAACTGAGGATCCGACTGAAGGGCCGGGCGTCGCCCTGGTCGGCGGCGGCGGCCGCATTGGCTGCCCGGGCCGCGGCACTCCGCCGATCGGCCGACAGCTGCCGAAGCCACGACCCCTCGCTCTGGTAGATGATCTGACCCACGGCTTGGAAGGGGAGCTGGCTCAGGCTGCCATCGCGCCAGGCCACCGCCGCAGCCACCCCCGGGGCGGGGTCCGCGCTCTCCAGCACCAAGGCCGCCCCGGAGCCAGGGCCGCGGCCCTCCGCAAAGAAGACCCCCTCCGGATGCAGGGGGGTCAGCAGGGACAGGTACAGGCGATCTTCCAGGGCCGAGCGCCCGGAAACGGCCACCAGCGGCAGGGCAAACTCCCCGACCACGCATGTCAGGCCACTGCCCAGCACCAAAGTCACGCGCAGAAGACGCGTATGTACAGCCAGCTCCCGGGGCAGGGTGATGCCGCGCAGGCGCAGGCCGATGGCCGGGCGCGGCGGCGCCGCCAAGGAGTCCCGGCTCCCGCCGAGGCCCATCACATGCGACGCCACCGCATCGCCAGGGGCCCCGTCGGGCGGGGGGGCACCGCCGCGCTCCGACCCGGCCGGCTCGCCACCGGACGCCGGGGCAGATCGCGAGAAAATCCGCGACAGGAAGGACTGCCCGGTGGGGTGGGCAGCAGGGGTCGGAGCCCCGGCGACCGGAGCCCCGGTTCCCGGGACCGCGGCACCGGCAACCCCCGACTGCCCAGCCTCCAAATGTCCGAGAGGGCCATGGCCGGAGGCCTCGGTTTCCAGCAGATCCGCCAGAGCCGCCGAGCCGCCGGCCGGCGCGCCAAAGCTCGCCAGCGATGTCAACACCAGCACCAGGCGCCCGGCCTGCGGCGTGGCAAGGCGGCGCGCAGCCTCCGAGCACGGACGCAGCGGCACCCGCCGGGTGAGAAGCCGGCACCGGGGCCGCCCAGCTGCCCGGGTCACGATCGACGCCTGGTCGGCCACCACGGCCGCCGCCACCTCGGCCGCAGACAGCACAACCGGCGAATCGGGCTCGCTGCCAGCCGGAACCAAGTGCGCGGCCTCCTCGTCATCATCCGCCTCGGGGGAGTCTTGCTCGATCAAAAGGTCCGCCACACCAAGGAGCCCCTGCGCGGCCGGCTGGTCAAGCACCAGGCGGAAGATCAACACACTGCCCGGAGCCACGGGCCCCGGCTCCCGAGTCAGGGGAACATCCACCCACCCGAGGGTCAGCCCCCGGCCACCATGCGGGTCGGTGTTGACCATGTCCGCAGCACCCGGGACCAGGCGTCGCAGGACATTCAGCGCCAGGGGGACCGGCTGGCTGTCACCGGCCGAGGCCAGCGGATCGGCCAGCCAGGCCGACAAGGTCAGCTCCACGGCTGGGCAACCGGGCGCCAGGAGGCCCGGCACGGTGGCCAGACACAGGCGCAGCCGCGCCGGGCATCCGGCAGTCAGTCCATGCGCCAGGACCACGGCCACGGTGGACTCCCGGCCGTGGGGAACCCACAGGTGGCGAATCGGTGGCGTGGCAGCCCAATCCAGGCGCCGGCCTGGGGCCATGTCCGCCCGGTCGGCCTCCCGGCACCAGGGCGCCAGGACCGCGTCCAGCGGAACGGCCAACCCCCCGGCTTGACTGAGGTCCGACAGCTCGGCCGTGTGGCCAGTGTGCTGGGATCCCAGGCAGTCCATCAGGGGCGAGTCCGTCAGCAGGGGGCTACGCAGGGGGATGCACGCCCCGGCGTTCGGGCTCAAAGCGGCCAGGCCCCCGGTTGTCATGGCATTCGGGCCGCCCGACTTGATTGTCAGGTCATCCGGCGCGCGTGACAGCCGACTCCCGCCGAGGCAGGCCGCCGCAAAGAGCGGCATCGCAGCCGGGCTGCTGGCAACCGCGGCCACGCGGCACAGGCGCCGCCCGGCCGCCGCATCCGCGCTCTCCCGGTCGTGCGTCAACATTGGCATGGAGGATTGGATCAGGCCGATCGATTCGGTGTGGGTCTTCTGCCGCTGCAGCAGCGACTGGCAGGCGCCACAGGCAAGCCCATTCCCCGCGGGAAGGGGCCCGCGTAGGAGGCAAATTGGCCGGCCCTCAGGCGAGGGGACCAGCCCGCCGACGCCGACGCCAACATTGGCAGCGGTGGCGGCAGGGCCGGTGACGGGCCCCGGAGGCAGACGGCTCCCACACGCACAGCACACCGCAACACCGGGGCCGCCCCCGTCGTCGGGGCTTATGCCGGCGGTGATGCCGGCGGCCAGGCGCAAGGGGCTATGGAGATGACGCACGCGCGCCGGGTCCAGTGCCTCGCGAATGCCGGCCGGCTGCCACCACGCCGGCATCGGTGACGGGACCGTGGCCACCGCACACTGGGCCAGCAGCAGCTCCATTGTCAGCCAGTGCGCAGCCGTGGCCACCAGCCGCCGCCGGGCCAGGGGATCCAGCTTCTGGTAGATGCTGGTCTCCTCAAAGTGCAGGGCGGTGTCCATCTGCACCAAGCGCCGGAGGATGGCCGCCCGCGGGCAGGGAGCTCGCCGGCGCCGGCCGATGCCAACTGGCCGGGGCACCCCGCGTCGGCGGAGCTCCGGCTCATGCCTCTCCAGACTCTCGCGAAGCAGGGCACAGTAGCGCCGGAGCTGCTGCTCCGGGGTCGGGGCATCGGAATCCGGGGCGCCAAGCACCAGCTGGTCGCCCGGCAGGGTCTGCGCCTCGGCCGGGGTGTTGCCCGACCGGTCTTCCCGCGACTTGCCATCGGGCCCGGGTGTGCCGAAGACCGCGGCCAAGAGGCGGCCCTGCGCCGCAGCCAGGGCCCCATCCACCAGGCGCTCGCGCAGGTGGCCACGCCACCCGACCAGGCGTGCCTGCTGCCGGGCCGCGTCCGGCACATCGGCCAGCAGCGACACCCGGCCGAGGCGCATCGGCCCCGGGCGGTGGCAAAGAGCCGCACTTCCCACACCGAAGGCCGGCCCCATCACCGCCGCCGACTCGGCATCCACAAAGTCATCCCGGTACAGGACAATGCGCAGGAAGCGTGCCCGGGGGAGACGCCGGCCTGACCCGCGCCCCGTCAGCCAAGCAGACCCGCCCACGGTGGAGGACCCGTCGGTCGGGTTCGTGCCGGCGGCGGTGTCCGCATCCGAGTCGGTGTCGGTGGCCGACCCGGCACCGAAGTTGGACCCGGCGAACATGTGGCTCAGCCCAGTCGGCCGCCCGGCCTGGTGCATGTCCACCAGGTCGAAGCTCAGCTCGATGTACTGCTGTTGCTGGTGTGGCTGCAATGGCAGCGCCTGCGACTCCGGGCGGCCGTGGGGGTCATCTCCATGTGGGTCCGGATGCAGGCTCGCGGCCTGGGTTTCACTCTCGGCCCCATGGCAGTCCCGGTGACAGTAGGCCGACGCACGACGCGAGGAATACCGCATGGACCCCCGTCGGGAGACCGAGGGCCCGGCCAGGCCGCTGTCCGTCTGGCCGAGGCTGCGGAAGCTGGCCCCACGCCGGGGGTCATCGCCCCGCGCGGGGTCCGGCAGGTCGTCCTCCTCGCCCTCGCCCTCGGACTGGCTGGAGCAGCCGGAGCACTCCTCCTCCTCCGCCTCCGCCTCCTCTTCCGCCATGCCATGCCCGGCATGGCCTCGGTCATCGCCATCATTGTCACCCCGCCGGTCGACGCTCTGCAGGGCTTCGCGTGCCTCCAGCGAGGTGACCCGATGGAAGTCCCCGCCCGGGCCAAGCCCCTGGGCCAGGCCGCTCAGGCTGGGGTCGTCCTCCGGATCGGCGATGGCCAATAGTGGCGACCGCCCGGGGGCCAGCACCAGGCTCGGAGAGGGGGTGGCCATGCTCATGCCATTGAGGGTGGCCAGGCGTGGCGAGCCGCCCCGGGCCACGCGAGCCCCCGGCCCGGCCCGGTGCTTCCGGCACCGGCTCACCAGCAGGTACCCACTGTCAGCGGACGAGGCATCCGGTGCGCGCGGCCGGCCGGACTCCTGGTCGGACTCCGACTCGACCGAGCAGTCCGGGGCCGCGAGGGGCACCCGGTCGCAGATCACTCGCCAGGCAGCCCGGGACCCGAGGGTCTCGGACACCAGAACATCCAGGCGCCGCGGGGCGCCCCGGCCATCGGCCGGCAGGACCAAATTCAGGCGCAGTGGCCGACACAGGGGCGCCATGATGGCAAAGGTCAGCGCCAGAGCCGGCCGATCCCAAGTGAACCAGTCCACCGGGGCTTGGGGCGAAGTCAGATCCACAAGGCGCCGAATGGCCGGCAGAGCACCCAGCGGCGGGGCAAAGCCCATCTCCACGGCAAAGGGACACTGGCCCCCGGAAGTGGGCTCCTCCACCAGCAGCGGCACAGGCAGCAGGGGAACCATGCGCGGGTGTGACCCGCTGCCGGGAAGTGCGCCCCCGGCCCCGGTGGCCGGGCGCTTGGACACGGCCGCGCCCAGGCCCAATTCCGGAGCGAAGGCCACCAGACGCTGAGACTGCTCGCCCTCCAGGGCCGCATGCATTTGCTGCAGATGGCCTTCGATGTCGGCGAAGCCCCAGTCTGCCGGCTCGTCGTCCGAACTCTGGACATGCTGGTTGTCGAAGTCATATTCGGTGATGCCGGGCTGGCTGACCGGCATGGCGACGGTCCCGTGCGGGGCCAGGCCCCGAACCAGGGCCGAAGCCGCCGGCAGCGGCGTGCCCGACCCGCTCAGCGCCGCTGGCCAGTCGGCCCGTGTGTTGTCGGGGCTCATGGCCGCCATCAAGGGCCCGGCCCCGTCGGACCGCCACGCGGCCCTCACCTCCGGCGGGCTGGGCAGCAGACTGGAGGCCGGATGGCTGACTCGCGCATCGACGCTGGCCGGCGTACGGCCCGGACCCCGGTGGCCGGTGGCATCTTCCTCGTCATCCACAGCACCGGCATCTTCATCGTCATCGTCATCGTCGAAGTCATCCGGGCCCACATCATCGTCGGCCTCCATCCCCGCTGGGGGTTCCTGCTCGGCAATCTGCCCACTGCCGAGGCCACGCCGGGCGCCCGGTACCAGGGGCAGACCCGGTGGCGGGCACGCCCGCGTGGGCGGAGTATCGGCGGGCTTCTCCATGCCGGGTCCCAGCGGGGACCGGGCCCCGGCCCCGGCCATTTGGCGCCGACCCGGTCGCCGGAGTGGCCCGGCGGCCTCCTCGGCCAGGGTGGCCTGGGGGAGAGACAGCTGCGCGGCCGCGGGTCCCGGAGCTCGGCCAGGACCGCCGGCGGTCGCCGGGTCTTCCTCCATGTCATCCTCACCGGGCGACCGCAGCGGCGTTTGGGCCAGGAAAAAGCGCCCAACAACCGCCTCACTCCCCCGCACGCAGGGGACTTTGTTGCGCAAAGAGGGCGACCGGATGGCCGAGGCCAGCGCATGGACGAACCCCTCCATGGTGTCGCACAGGGCCCTGGCCATCAGGCCGCCGGCCGCCGCTGCCGGAGACAACAAATGCTCGGCCGCTGCGTCCAGCATGAATGAGTGCCGAAGGGCATCGGCCAGCGGCGGGAAGGGGGTCAGGTGGGCCAGGCGCATGACCGTCTGCTGGCGACTGATGATGCGTTCGACCGTGGCCGCCGGGCTGGCAGGGCCCGAGCGTCCGGGCGCCAAGCCCGGGACGTTCAGCACACCGTGGGTCATGCGCCGCGCATACGACGCCTGGTCCATCTGTTGGAGGTGGTACTCCTCGCGGCTGAAGTGTGACAGGATGGGCAGGCTGCGCGAGGACCGGGCCATGCGACAAAGGCTCTTGAGCTGCACCCGGGAATGGGACACACACAGTTAGGGCATGGCAGCGACAGGGGAGACGAGGAAAGGCGGAGAAAGAGCGAACATGCGAATCTCCCCCCGGACAATTGGGGCAAGCCAGGCGGCCGCAGCAGCAGCAGCAGCAGCCACACGCACCAGGTACGACAGATCATACTGGTATGCCACGTCCAGGAGGATGACCTCCTGGCGCCGATCCGATGAAAAGGCCCCCAGCGTCTCGGTCGACAGGAGGGAGAAGTAGGCCAAGGCATGGGCGAAGTCCGAAGAAAGCGACGGCCCGGAGGAGGCCAAATTGTGTGGCACCTCCAGGTGGAGAAAGTCCTCCTCGAAGCCGGCCGACCCCCGGTTCCCCAAGATCAAGTGGTACGGGCGTTCGTGCGGGTCGCGGGTCTGGTTCGGCACCAGACGGATGGCCGCCGGCGGGGTGCCTGCACGCGCGACACTGGCACTGAAGCGCACCCTCTGGCACGCGTCCGAAATCGAGGCCCCAGGCCCGGGGCGCTGGGGCGACTGGCCGGTCCAGGCAATGGCCTGGACCTCGCCCTCGCGCGCACACAATTGCGTCGAGCTCTGGATGTCGCCAAAGCGGTCGGCCCGATCGGGTCCGGCAGCAAGCGCGGCATCGGGCCCGGGGCCGCCGGGGGCCATTCCCGGCGCCGGGCTGCCGGGGATGAGCCCCGGGCTGCCGGCCGGCGTGCTGGCCGATCCGGCCCCCGAGAGTGTCTGGAACTGGCTCGACCGCCGGAGGCCAATGAAGCCAGCCATCTGCGGCGAGGCGTTGGCATCCGTCGCCAAGCCCGGGCCAGGATGCACACCAATGCCGGCGGCATGCGCCCCATTGCCAGCCATACCCCCGGCGCCTGGATGCCCACCGGGCCCGGCGGTCAGCAGCGACTTGACAAAGGTGGTCGGGGAGGATCGCGACAGCAGCAAGCCACAGGACAAGGGAAGGGCCTTGGCCAAAAGGTCATCCGCCAGCCGGGTCAGCACCAGCAAGGTGATGTGCTCCAGTGCGGGCCGCAGGCCTGATGCCGCCTCCTCGGCGGGGCCCTGCGCCCTGATTGTTTCCTGGCGGAGGTTGACCGTGCCGCGGATGAGGGCGACACACACCTCTGGCGCGCCGGCCATGGCGAAGGGGCCCGACAGCAGGTGGTTCGCTCGGAAGCCCGGATTGCGGCAGGGGCGCCGGCCGGCGCCGGTCGGCGTCGGAGGAAAGGGACTGCGCGCGAGAGGGCGAAAGCCCCAGGGGCAGTGGCAGACATGTGGGCGTTAAAGGGGGAAGGAGGAGGAGATGGGAAAAAGAAGGAGGCGAAGAGGACCACATACGTTGTCAAGTCCACGCCGTGGCAGTAGTAGTGTCGCTGGGCAATGCGGCGCTGCATGAGCTTCTCGGCCTCAAGCTCCGAGTAGGCACCCGGCGGGATGGTTGACAGGGGGATCTGCATTGCCGGTGAGGGCAGGGGGTGAGTCACCTGGCGAGGGAGCGCTCCGAGCCACGATCAAGTGGACGCACCGAAATCCACATGGAATCGTTCACCTGGTAGATGGGGTGCCCGGTGGGCAGGGTGGCCAGCCGGCTCACCTGCGCAGAGCGACGCATGCGCACCGAGGATGGGCAAGAAGGCACCGTGTGAGAGTCGGTCATCCTTCGCGGGGTGTGCCTGGTCTGTGTCCCTCCTCTCGCCCCC